TCATTAGCCTTCAGTATTTATCTGTTTTCTTCCTCTGTACATGATGTCACGTACACCTTGACAGGGGAAACATACATACATATCCCCTAGCATCATCATCATCGTCGTCAGCGTACTTCTTCCCCTACCCCTCACTGTGCCCACTCTCACTTTTTGCAAAAAACACCAAGATAGACAAATTAGAAATAAACGACAAAGTCTAGACTAGACACAGTGTGTGTGTTGTGCTTCATTGCTATCTGTATTCGACCTGGTAACACTCTGACTTAATCACTTTTTGTTTTGTGTCTTCTTGAATATTTTTGCTTTAACTTTCTTAAGAAATTATTTATTACATTATTATTATTTATTATTTTTCCTGTATTTTAACGTCTTGTTTTTGTTGCAGCCAGTATCATTTTTTTATTATAATTGTTGCGTTGTTGTATTTTTTGGTGGGGATGGGGTGGGATGATGTGGGGAAAGGCGGGCGGGAGGGGCGGGGGCGTAATGATTGGTAATTTTTTGCGTCAGAGGGTCTTGTAAACGTAATCTCTCTCTCTCTGTAGCGCAGTGGTAAGTGGACATAATAGGCGAGAGAGTGAAAATGAATTTGTTTTTTCACTCATTGCGTTAGATGACAGAAGTAATACACAAAGTAATCAGTGCTGACAGAATGATAAAATGTTTTCGTCGTCTCCGCCATCTTCAATTTTGCTTTCCTTTCTTGCTTGCTTGCCTCCTTCCTTCCTTTTTTACTTCCTAACTTCGTTACTTAATGATGGGGAGAAAATTAAAATGATTTCTAATTGTCAAAAACATTTTCTTTTTTTAAAGAAAATCATAATAATAATAAAACAAAAGGAATGAAAAGTGCAGTGAAAATAAAGTTTCAATTGTAATAATATTATTATTATTTAAATCACTGAAAATACCCATTGAGTCATGAAGAAAAAAAGCAAAAGACAATTAATTCACCAGCGAAGAAAACATTTTCTTTATCGACGAAATCATCTTCACAGGCTGGTTGTACAGTAGTCGTATTTATATTTACCAGAAATGTACAGTAGTCTATTACTGAGTAACAGGTGTGTGTGTGTGTTATAACATAACTGATATAATTACTCAGAAGTGGCTTTAGAAGTAAAAATAAAAGTTGTAAGTTACGGAATACTGAATAACGGCAAAAGGAAGAAATGGTTAGACATTTGATATGGTTAAAGTTATGAACGTTGAATTTAAAGGTGAAACAGCAGCTGAGATCCTGAAGAATCGCCTATACAGATCAATGAGGAAAGCCTTCTTTGCGGCTGAGCTACGTATCAGTTTCTACAGCCGACAAATGATCAGTGGAGCTGGTTATATTGGCCTCACAACTTGGCGTACACTTCCCAAACGCATCTCTGAACATTATCTGGCGTAGTTAGCAAAGGGACAATGCAAGACAATTACTAGCTCAGTTCTCGAGCACTCGGTGAACTCAAGCCACATAGCTCCAGCACAGTCATCTTTCAAGATTATCAACAAGGTGGGGCCAAATGGTACGAAGGGAGTCAGGTTTCGGCCTTTGTGTATGATGGAGGCGTTGATAATTCGTCAATACAGCCCCCGAACTCTGTATACAGAAAAAGTTTGTCCAGTCTCTTATTTGACCATATTCTTAACCTCTTCACTTGTCGTCCCCTGTAAAAAATTCCATTTTTTTTAATCTTTTATTTTCAATTTTACTTTTAGTTTGCTTTTACTTTAATAATTAATTCCCTATTATCACTCTCAAATGTTCCTTTTGTACATTTTCACACCCTCTTCACACACTTGTTAAACTGACACTCAACTACCTTTATTCTAAATCAATAACAATCACAGCTGCCCAGTGCTCCCAGGTTTTTCAATGGTTCTCTAACCGATGTCAGCTCATGATGAAATCCTGTAACCCATCAATCGAATCCCTAGAAACCAATACTTGAATAACAGTTTAAACCTTATCAAATTTCTAATTATTTCTTCCTTATGCCGTTATTCAATATTCCGTAACTTACAACTTTTATTTTTACTTCTAAAGCCACTTCTGAGTAATTATATCAGTTATGTTATACACACACACACACCTGTTACTCCGTAATAGACTGCTGTACATTTTTGGTAAATACAAATAGGACTACTGTACAACGTCGTGAATTGGCGGAATTTAGAATTCATGGGCCATTGGATCGGGTCCCAGTGGCTTAATGGTATACGAGCTCGCCTTGTAACCAGAAGGTCCTGGGTTCGAATTCCGGTGGGTGAGCACTGATGATGAGTCCCAAACTAGGACGAAACAGCTGTCCAGTACTCCCAGGTTTTCCAGTGGTGCTCTAACTAATGTCAGCTCATGATGAAAATCCTCTAACCACTCAAATCCCTATAAACCAACACTTGAATACTGTACAACCAGCCTGTGAAGATGATTTCGTCGATAAAGAAAATGTTTTCTTCGCTGGTGAATTGTCTTTTGCTTTTTTCTTCATAAAGCTAAACAATTACATTCTATATACATAATTTTATATAAAAAGAACTACTATTCACATTTAATTCGAGATAATTACAAAGTTTATTTAAAGATTATGATGATTTTCAACTTGATATGCAAATTACAAGGTGTAAATATACATTCCATTGTGAGTACAATTTATTTCGGCAAATTCTCACAGTGTTATACTGTAACATGATCATGTCAAGGTACTCACACAACTTTCTAACTTCGTTAGTTATTTTTTTTTGTATTCCTTCACCTTCCCAGTGGAATATATGGCTTCAAGCTAGAGGCTTGAAGTTTCGGTGGCAGAGTTTATTTTACAGGATGGGGTTGCTAGCCTCATGCTCAACCTTTCCTCCTGACCAGTTTTTATTACTGACTTAGCGAGGTAAAGGTGTGGTGAGAGCTGTCTACTAGCCAAATTGGTAGACAGTAATTTACGTCAATGTTTACGTTCTCAAGATTTGTCGTGAGAAAATATGAACAAAGACTGATTCAAAACCGACCACAGCAGACTTTGCGTAGGCGGATACAGTTAACATATAGATGATCTGACATTCAAGAAGCAGTCACAAAGAGACGAAAGATTAACTTTAAGTGAGAAACAGCCAATCAGAAGACTGTGTTTGTTTGCTTAACTAAACTATAATAATGTACATGAAAATATATAAATATGCTTTGATTTCCTTAATAAACGATCTGTTGCCTGGCCCTTGTCTTCTGTTGTTACAAAGGTACTTTGTAAATGTCTTCTTTGAATAATGAGTCAGTTGACATGTGAACTTTCTACAAATTGATCACTGTGTGGCCTGCTTAAAAACTTGAGCTAACAAGATCCTCGATCACTCTATATTCCATATAGTTTCACTTGTTCATTTTGTTTCAATAGAATAAAACATGATCTTAAATCGTATTATTTAGTCTGACGAGAAATTAAAGTATTTACAAACTGTTGATTCACTAGTTCCTACTAAACTTGACAAAAAGCATTATCGTGAGGGATACGTGTCCCAATACATGAGACAACTGTTCCTGAGTTATGTCCTTTGGTTTCCAACCAAATGTTGTACACTTCTCTAATGAGATAAAGAAGAAGAAATATCATAGAGGAATGGTTTATAAGCATTGTGTCACACGATCTACTTTCAATGAATACTATATTTGAAGATCCAGTATGCAGAAGAAATATCATGCAACAAAACCCTGCCGAAAATTGTGCACATTATATAAACACTGTTGAGAATAGAATAAAGCTATTCTTATTATTATTATTGCTTTGTTTTAAATCATTATTCATTCACCCTCTCTCCACCATCAAAAGTGTTGCTAAAAATGCAAGTTGGTTAACAGTTTCACCGTAGAAAGTAAGGTGAATGTGATTCAGCTCAGAGTCAAGTTTATCTTGTAGACATATTACATCTTCATACTTGCCACACATAGCAGTGATGCACACACAAACACACACACACACCTATAAATGTGACATTGGCAATCAGATCACAAGCCAGATTTTCAACATATAACACATTAACCTGTGATAATCCTAACTGTGATTTTTCACAACAATGCTAACCACGTCTCGAAAATGATCACCTTCCAAGTTAAATGAATGTCATCACTACATAACAATAACAATAATAATGACTTCTAGAAACATGGAAGAATAAGGCATGAAAGATGTGAAGTCATCAGACAGCTTGGAATGTGTTGTGTAAATACATTACACTTTCAAGATAAAATACACCTTTTACTAATGCAATTCAAAAGCCTATATGTTCATAAAATCCAGTCCATTTTTTCAAAGTTCCTGTGTATGCAAGCTTGGTCGGTCTGTCAGTTTTCGACACAGAACTTTGCACATATGTGCGGCAGTTCAAGTCGCCACACTCCATGTAGCATACAAAGCAAGAGAAGAAAGTAGAAGAAATGCATATTAGAGACAGTAAACAGAGGTGTGACACAAAGGAATAGTAATAATGGAGAACAAAACAGTTTCATTTGAAATCATAAGTCACAAGGAGTGGATGTATCTGAGCCACTGAGAACGATTTTGAGCCATATCACCAATTGTTTCCAACCATTGGTTTTTACCGTCCCGAGGACCCCAACCAGGAAGTTTACACCTTCCTACGTGGCTTAGACTAACTGTTGTAGATTTCATTGACTGGTGCCATGTTTTCGTTTGACCGCCGCTAGCTCTTTTCCAGCCTGGCCCTATTTCAGCTAACATTGCCCATTGCCGAGGAAGGCGATGACTAGGCATACGTAACACATGTCCTAACCATCTCAGTAGATGTACGCAAGAAATAGACTGTGTTATCAAGTGTCTGCAAGCGACAAAAATCAAAACAAAACAAAAAAGTCACCGCGTAACTTTTCAAATACTCATCTATTTTTACATTAACAGTGAGTGACCTGTACATTCTTTTTTGTAAATGGATAATTTTTAAGCTAAAAATGCAACAAAAAAAGACAAGCTGTCAAGATAGAAGCAAATATGCCTTACCTTCATCATTTGTAGGACGATAAATATTTTCACTTTCATAGCTTTTTCTTTCTATAAATTGGTTAGCACAATCCGAATGAAAGTCATGAAACGCCTTTGAAATGATATTCGATTCTGATTTCGATAGTTTCTTTCTTTGCTGGTTACCAGCACTGCCAGTTTCATCTATGCTTGAAGCATAGTCTGAATCGATAAATTCACTTTTCATCCGTTCTATCTCGTCTTTTGTATAGGCATACTGTAGTCCTTTGTTTTTGGTGCTATCGTCCCTGGTAACACCTCCAACAGAGAATGGAGGCAGTTGACAGAATGGACGTAGTAGGCTTTTGTTTGATTTGATATCATCAGTATAAGAGTCTTGTCTACCAGTTAAGATTCCAGTCGATAATCCTTGTGCATCTTTCACCTCTAAAGCTTCATTTTTCTGTTGTTTTGATAATACAGGTTGTGAGGAAGTAATATCAGCTGGAGAAGTGCTACAAGTGCTCATGTATACAGCAGAAGGCGATTCACCAGTCGAGGGAGTTACTTCACACTGAGTTTTATTTGATAGCAATTTTTTAACTGCGAGTTCATGTGGTATCCATAGTGCTGTATTTAGCGGGATTTTACAACTTTTGCCTGATACTACTTCATTATTATCCTGTCGAATAAACTCCACTTCTAAAGGTATATTGGACAGAGTGAAAGCTACACAGTGCAGAAGCAAAAAAAACACGAAAATCACAATTTTATTATTAAATGGGTTAGAATTTATGTAAATCCATGAGAATATCTTTTATGGAATAATAAATAATATAATGAAAATAGTAAATGAAATATACCAGAAGTTTAAAAAAAACTAAAGCAGAAAAACATACTTTCTGCAAGAGTTTATACGATGGAATCAGACTCACGGGTACATACACATACACACCAAGATTATACGGGTTACGCAAAGTTCATTAACTCGAACTGCCATTAGGACCGATTGTGAATATGCACAATTCACCCTACAATGCCTTGGCTCAATGGTTGGTCACTACTATTCTAAAACTCTTGCATGAATAGTTAGTGAAATGTAGTGTGAAAGATGTATTTGAATCCACGGGTGGAATTAAAGATATTAACATCAAAGATAAAACTTTTGATATCTTTAGAAGTAACATCTCTGTTTTCACAAATCTACCTCTAATCGATGAAACGACTAGTTATATCTGTGAACAAACAAATAACAGTTCAATAGATCCGATGATCTCAGTACAGAATTCCTTCAGAACTGTTACTAAAGTGTACCATGAATGAGACTTTTAAATTTGATGATGGCAGATTCCCCTCTTAATAAACTAGGAAATGGTCTGATATTACGTGGTTGGAAGCAATCGGCTACAGATAGTCTCCCATCTAGCTTTCCTGCTTGTTGGCACTCACTACCAGTCAGCAAGGCGTATCTGCAACCACACTGAAGGAATAACTCATGTCTCTCCTGAGATTCGAACCCACGTCTCCCAGTAACGCGTGTCATTCGGGCGCGTGATTGACCTCTTGTCTTTTAAACAACCTTATCAGAAAGTTCTCATTTTATTCAATGTACATGAATGATACATTCATCCTTTGTGAAAATAATTTGGACGGAAGTGCAATAAGGGCTCACTTCAATGAAGTATATTCAGCTATCATATGCACGTGTGAATAAGAATCCCAGAATAAAATTACCTCTGCAGGCGTCCAACTGACAAGAAGGCGAAATGGTAGTATAAAGGGGAATCGGCATAAGAAAAGTAATTGGACCAGTTAATATACACATTCTCACAGCATTGTTGTTCTTCGGTGTGAAAGAAATTCGTTAAAGACTCTCAGCTTTAGCATCAGAACTATTTTTTTTCCCAGAAAATGCGATTGAAGATTAACTTAAGGTTGTATTGTTATTATTATTTCCTTGAGTTCCTAGTGGAACATAGGTTTGACTTCAACAACACATCTCCACTTTCTTCTATTTTCTGCTGTCCTCTTCAGCTGGCTCATCCCACGGTTGACTATAATCTCACATCTCCTCCATATCACAATAGAACCGACGACACACTCGTCACTTCTTATTTGGATTTTTTTTGCTCGAGTATTGGATAGCCTACATTGCATGCGATGTCATCCGAATATTTCCTTAATGTATGTCCGATCAATCCATCTCCATTTTCTCCTACATTTTTGTTGACCGGTCGGCTCTAGCTTGGTTGGTCTTTTCCACTGAGGAGTTTCTTCTTACTTATTCTTCCTGGCCAGCCGGCCATTCGATCTTTAGTATGGAGCCAGCCAGTGAAGGTGGCAGCTATTGATAAACATTTGCATCTTGTTGGAAATCCTTTACGCGACGCACTGGTCAAGCTTCTGACCCGTATAGAAGAACAGACTGACTGAAATCACATTTGTGTTGAAAATCCGAATCTGGCGTATATTAAACTTTAAATGAAAACAACTAACCTGGGTACTTCATCACTGAACACATGGCCGATGGAGTAGAAAACAATTCTTCTATAGTTGTTAACAAGAACCTTATCCATATATATACGACTACAATTCAAAGGTGATAGACATCCAAGTGAAATGCCAATAACCAACAAGTGGAGAAAATCGGTTTAAAGAATGTTTAATGATGATGGTAAACTGCAGCACATATTTTTCATATAACCGGTTGTCATTCCAACCCTGAAACTGAAGTATACAGGCTAGCTAGCCACCTCTACTCGTTTCCTATGAATTCAACTACTCCTCTGTAGCCAGTTATATTAGCCGCTGGTTGCTCTAGGAACCTAATTTTTCCTGCCTAGGAACACGTGCCAGTGTGGTTAAACAAATGTTATTAATAAAGCCATCAACAGTTCTACATTACATCACCTTGTCCATACATGTCGCAAAGTTAGCGAGCACTGAAGAGTCTCTTCTCTATCAACAATTGGGTATCGAATAAACTTTTAAAAAAGGCCCCACTCTAGATATCGAATACTCCAAACAGCAGACATCACTAAATTTTTAATTCATGAAAAATCCCCGTTCGAACATTAATAGACAGAAGACTAGTAGTTCAGCGAAGAGTCTCTTTACGGTGATTTCATTTTCATTGCTGTACAATCGCAAATATATATGGTTGTTTTATATATGTGTGTGTACATTAAATTTGTCAAACGAAAATACAATTAGTAAGTTCAGATGAATTGGATGTTGATATAAGAGAGTAATAACAAAAGTGATGATTTGTCACAAACGATTGTTAAAGAAGAGTTACGTAATAAAACGAAATTACTGTTATTAAGTTCAGGTGAATTAAGTGTTGATATCAGATGTATAATGGCTGCATAAGGAGTGCAATAATCGAACACCTCGTCAACACTGGTCATTCCATCTCAACAAACGCCTCCTTCAAAGTAATCTACAAAGTGAAGAACAACCTTCCAAAGACAGGACGATTCCGTCTTCTTTGCATCGCAGAAGCCCTAACCATTAAGCTGGAGGAACCAGAACTGTGCATACAAAAGAAAATTATTCAACCACTTCTACTCCCATGGTAACAACTCCGTTGATTTGACTTAACCTTTGTTTGTATGCTTATTTTTCTACTTAAAACCCTTGTGTAATTCCGTATATTTTGTTTCCACGTACACCCTGAGTACAACTCTTTCATTAAACTATTCATGTTATTACGTAACTCTTCTTTAACAATCGTTTGTGACAAATCATCACTTTTGTTATTACTCTCTTATATCAACATCCAATTCATCTGAACTTACTAATTGTATTTTCGTTTGACAAATTTAATGTACACACATATATAAAACAACCATATATATTTGCGATTGTACAGCAATGAAAATGAAATCACCGTAAAGAGACTCTTCGCTGAACTACTAGTCTTCTGTCTATTAATGTTCGAATGGGAATTTTTCATGAATCTTTTTAATCATCACTGTCACATAAATGCAGAACCTGATGAAGAAGAAGTTATCGAATAGAATATTCTTTGAATAAAGCAAGAACAATAGTTTTTCCAGTGGAAAATGTTACCATCATTGTTTATTTCATTGGCTTGTCATCAGCTCAGCTGCTTGCAGCCCAAAGTCATGATTGAAGTATATTTATGGATGAAAGAGAGAATGAAAATATCCAGTTACCAGGCAGCAGAGCAAGGAAAGACTGATAACCGCTTCTCTCTGAACACATAAATCGGGTTTCAGGTGCTTGATGGAGATAGCTTCCGCAAACGTGAGGAGAATTGAACTCTTTTGCCCATTGATAATTTTGAACTATCTTGCGACGTACACCTCATGACCCTTGTCAAGTAGATGCCTGGTGATGCAATGTTCAAAGAAAGCATTTGTTTCCAGATAGAGACATAGGCTTTTTGGTACATGTTCAGACAAATCGTAGGTATACACTTCTCCTTCTTTCTGTTCTTCCAATGTAACTGCTCTCGCAGATACACATAAATTTGTATATACAGTTGGAGTTAACATGAGAAGGATATCTATCGATTTTCGATTGCACCGAAGAGCAGGCTGTGCGATAGATGGGAACCAAGTCAGCTAGCTGTAGGATAGGCTATGCTTGGTGACGTCCTCAACCTTTTGTTGACCATTGCTGTAATATTTTCACCTTTAAAATCAAGTTAAACGGAGATGGGCTTATTCTTTACTGTGATTTGCTTAACATTTGAGCCTTCAGATCTTCCATACTTGTTGATAAAACTTTGAGGGTAACCGTTGATTTTCAACATTTTTTCGAGAAACATTAATTCTTCCTCTAATTTCTACATAGAGCTAGGAGATTATGCAAACATCAATAGGAACCAATGAGTACTTGATATATCTATGTAGTCCTAGTTTGAGTTTCTACAGAAGTGCGTACAAATGACTGTACTTGAAGGTTGAACCAAAGGCTTTCAGGTTGTGATGCTAGTCCATCAACGAATCAACCGCTGGGATAGAATACAGTGCTCGTTGAATTTTAACTTCCAGAAATTCATGAAATTTAGCCTAACTTCCAGGCAATGTCATCAACGAGTTGCAAACTTCATAATCGACTTGGTAGAACTCAACAGTCATGAATTCTAATTGGTGGATGGTGACTAGCAGTGGAAGCCAGGATGCGCATTTCTTCCTATTTGGGAGTGGTCATCTGGATATACCTGCATTTCCCAATGAGTGGTGATGCTCCTAGCATGGAGGCTCGAACCCAGTGCCCATAGTTTCACACGCTAAAGCGTGATCCACAAGACCACTTGGGCCACGGAGACACCTCTTATGCAACGGGTCATATTAATTATTTAATTCGATTTCAGATTTTCAATCAAATAGTCATGAATTCTGCCAAGAAAATTCCAGGAACTCCATCCTGTAATCAGTCACTAGTGAATATTAGATTGATTTTTAAGTGCTGGCTACCAGGTACTGCGTTGTCCTCGGTATAGTGATGAGTGAATTTGGCTAACGTTCAGTAATTGCCTATCCAGTGCTCAATATGATAAACTGGATTGCTTGATGATTACCAATGTTCAATAGTGCCCTCCGTAAAACGCAAAACAATGTGTAAAAGAACTTTTGTTGAATAACTCATATTACTAGCAAAAATAAAAGTAGTATAACTTCAAAAATTTCGTTTTCGTTCAATACGATATCCTTCCGAAACTGAACAATGCTAGATTAGGTAGTTATATCATAAATAACATGGTTGATAATCATAATCATGTCCAATAACCAGTCAGTTAAGTGAGACAAACAGCAAATCGATAGTTCTATACCTGATATCAGTTCGTGATATAAATTATATCAATCTTTCAGTTACTCTCGCCTACACGATGAGTCTTCTGAAGTCCTAATGAAAAGTCAAAGCCAGTGAGGTATGAAGTGGTGACAGAATTATCCCAAATCCACAGAAGCTGGAATTCATAATTCCAAATCAATCGCTGAAAGCTCAACAAGCCTGCATTGCAACCCAAAAATTCTGGCTCCTATCTCCGACAAGGTGTTTGGTGCTCACTCGTGTGGGCCGAACAAACTTATCAAATAAACATGGAAGAAGTTAGAAAAGAGCTAACCGCTGATCCCGAGCCTAATATTAGGACAAAGCTGCCCACCCTCCACTGAGGAAATTATTTTACGAAATAAATTATGCATGAAGTCTACTGCCTTCAGACACAAGGACAAAATATGTAGAAAAACAGTAAGAATAAAGATGAAATTACCCATATCCCAAGTCATTTCAGATAACTTTATGGATAATTGGGAGAGTATCGCTCTTCATACACTCAGTAAAACTCCAAACATACGGTAGAGGTATGTGGATGTAGGACACTATATCTCATGGTTGCAAAAAAGCAGTAGTGACTCTATAAGGAGAATGATAATCAAACACCTTGTCAACACTCGTCATCTCATCCATCTCAACAAACCACTCCTCCTTCAAATTAATCTACAAAGTGAAGAACAACGCGACAAATACAAGAGGCTTTCATACTGGACGGTTGGAGGCGATCACCAGGAAGCTTAGGACCTAGGTTTAGTGATGACGAGCCACCTACAATGGTGGGCACATTAAAAACTGTACTGAGAGAATTCAGTCTGCACCAAACAAAGGAGTAAACACATTACACTGGCTACTAACTAGCATCCAATCAAACCAATAGGTTCTCATCTCCTTTGCATTTCTCAAGCTATAACCATTCAGATAGATAGGGAAACAGCAGCTACTCATATAAGAGAAAATTATGCCACCACTTCCACTGTCGTGGTAACAATCTCGTGGATTCCTACTCACTCGATTTCTTTTTGTTTGTTTGCTTGTTAATTTGTCGAACTCCTTGTAACTCCTCTACTTCCTTAGAACTCACTCCTACATGATTCCATATTTTCTTTCGTTTCTGTGTACTCATTCATTCATTCATTCATCCATTCATTGAACTATTAATCTTACTGCGTAACTCTAACACACTTATAGAACTTCTCTTATTCAGTAAATAATAATATTAAGTAACAACTCTGATTGTTAGAACTGATTATATTTGTTGTTGCTCCCTTTCATGAAAACAAAATTGTGTAGAGATGCGACTGTACAGCTGAACAGGAAAGTGAATTCGCTGAAAAGAGCCTGTTCACTGAATTACGTGTTTTGTTTTCATTAGTAAATGGATTGAAATTTTCATTCTGTGAAAAGCATAACATACCTATAGTTTCATCACACATATAAACTCATTGGTAAACAGAATAAAATTTACATCTGAACAGGAAAATCATCAAGGAGAATCAGCTGTGATGTTAAGTTGTAAAATAAAACGAACAAAGGGAGGTAAAGTGCAGTTTAGCGTTTATAAAAAGCCAATTCACTCTAACAGGTATTTAGACTTTAAACCATCTCATCTATTTTCTGTCTAAAACAACGAGAAATAAATCAAGAGATGCTGGAATCCAGGAGAAAAGCTAAGCCGGTCTCAAGGCATGCGATGATTATTATTTATTTATTCCCTTGGGTTCTCAGTGGGACATACGGCTGCAACTACACATCTCCATTTCATCCTACTCTGTGACGTCCTCTTTATTGGGCTCTACGATTGCTTATAGTCTCTCATCTCCTCCCCACACGATCTCCTCTGTGTCACTCTCGGACACATGCTCAACTCATCGTTTAACACTCGAGGGCCTGTTGAGTGTGCCATGTCATTCAACGGCCTCCCTCTCCAGCCTACATCCGATACGTATTCATTTTCTTCTGTATACTTGTTGCTCAATAGCTTCTTGATTAGTTCGTTTCCAGAGTTCCTTATTTCCAATGCTTTCCACTGGCCATCTGATCTTCAGCATGGAGCCAGAAAAGGCAGCTTTTGATGAAAGTGTACAGCATTCTGTTAAAAATCTTTTCGTGATGCGCGCACCAAGTTTCTGACTCTTAGAGAAGAATTGACTGACTTAACATTAGTGTTGAAAATCCGATTCTTGTTTATTGTGTTGAGTGCAGAAGACTCCTGAACTGTGTTCAGAGTGATGAAGGTCTACCTCGCCTTTCCGATTCTGGTTTCGACATCCTCATCTATACTGCAGCCCGTAGTTGAAACAATGCTGACTGGCTAGATAAGTGACCTCTTTCTTCTTGTTGGTTGGTTGGTTATTTTCATCACCTCCATCTTCTCTATGCCTACTTGAAGTCCTGTATGCTTATTTTTGTTTTCATCGAAATAAGACACCTCGGCTGACTGTCTTCCTAAAGACTTTCACCAGCCCGCATTATACCATCTCTCCCTCCAAATCCAGGTTAACAAAAAGGAGTGATGAATAAAGTAGGGATAGAAATCTTTGATAAATAAAGTTTCCATTAAATTATCGCCGACCGAATGAGAAATAAGAGTTGTTAAAACCTTTAGTGAACATATGAATTATGCATGTTTCTTTCACTCCCAACAACACAAAGAATGAGCTTGAATTTTATTCTCAGTGTTCGTTCGCTAAATCGCTACAAACAACCTTGAATATATGTAAAATACTGCTAAGTGTTTCAAATACATAAGAATCAAATGTGTTCAGATACTGGTTCACTCACAGTCTTTTGAATGTCATGACTTAACAACAATACCTATGCGATATAAGTTAAACAGACATTGTTCAGCAAAAATATTATTTTCTTATCTTCTGTTCAAGTTAAAGACTATGAAAATGCCAATTAGGGTCATGTATTATTATCTTTCTTGGGAGAGCCAAAACATGAAATTACATATCATGAAACAAAAAATGTATAAGTTACAAAACTTGGTCAATTAGTCGTATGCAGCCTAAGAAATGTGTAGAAATGAATGGAGTTCAGAAATGGTGATCATTTTCAATGATAATGTTGTTCAGATTACCTGACGTTGCTTGCATGTGTTGCTCCTACTTTCTGTTCTATCACTATTAATTAAACACAACGTTATTTCCAAGAGTTGGTTGGCAAGGACTTCATTTGTCTCAAGTTCGGCCACGGATTGAAACTCAACCAGGGAGTACTGGACAGAGTTGTCTCGTCCTAGCTCGAGACACTGCACGGCAGGAACCCCCTCCCCTGCCCTAAACATCGAGGTTCGAACCTAAGACGTCCCAGTTACAAAGCAAGCTCACAGACCATTCAGCCACTGAGACCCATGAATTCAAAAACCACGAATAGGTAGAAATTTGAATCCAAGTGGCTGGATGGTCTATGAGCTTGACTCGTAACCGAAAGCTGCTGGGTTCGGACCCTGCTAGGTGTACTTCCTAAGAGTCATAAACTAGGACGAAACAACTCTGCTCAGGCGTACTGCCTGGTTTTCAGTGTGTCTGTCTCTAACGGAAATCAATCCGTGATAGAACTTGAAACAAATCGTAATCCCTGCAAACTAACTATTACTAGCTTACTAGATCGGCAAAGCTTTTTGCACCTCTTGCAAACCGTATCAAGATGAAACCATCAATACTATTCATATTTTAGCCATTTTAATAATAATAATAATAATAATAAAGTCTTAAACTCTTTCTTGCATTGTACACTCTTAAATCGGTTCTTGAGTCTTTGCCGAATTTAGCGAATTTAATAGTTTTTTTAGAACAGATGTAATGATGTTTGACATCATTTAAAAGGTCAGCCTACATGGATAGAAAAGTTGCTAGTGATGATGAACCATGCATCGTGATAAAACAAAATCACCTAACCTTTTCATGATTCCAAAACCATTTGGTCAAGAATATTATTATTATTATTATTATTATTAGGCTTTCATATTTCAATGCACAGAATCATTAAATTTTCAAGGCTGTAAAACAATCCTGTGTTTACCTTTTCTACAAGATGAACGTGATTCAAAACCAGATAGGACTTTGCCAAGTTGAAAAGGAACTAGAAAGTGTTTATCCATAGGATGTTTACAACACTGATCAATTTGAATAATTGCAGATTGAGGCACAAGAACAAAATCTCCAGGGTGAATTGGATGACGATGAAAATCTAAATAGGATATTAATTCATGCACGTGAATTTCTTGAAAGTTTTCACGATGTTTTATCTCTGAATCAGGATCTTCAAAGCAAATAATAAATGTGCAATAATCCACCTGTAAATTATTATGTGTGATAAAAAGATAGTTATTTCTGAGAAATCAATCAATTACACATATACACATTTTATGAATGTAAAATACAATTTACGATGAAAAACGTCATTAAATTTAGGTTAAACTAAGAAAATATTAGCAAACATTTGTGTAATTAGGACAAACCTACCTGAGAAAGTACAGTAGCCATGTATATTCGATTACCATCATTATACTTAGGAGCCAATACAATATGACCTAAAAGTAAAGCGCCAGCTGAAGGTGCTATTCGAATATCATCAGCCCACCAGTCAAGTTGATCCCGACCATTCATAAAAGATCTATTACGGTTATACAAATCGAATTTGATGATTAACACAATAATTTTACAGGTTATCAAAAGAATGAAATCATATGTATGGGTTTGAAAATACTTTCAAAGTTACCATTAGGAGTGCAGCCAACTGAGGTACTTATTATTCACCCAGTTTATTTTATTATCAAGTCATCTGATCACCGACTCTGATAAACTCCTTCTTCCGCGATTTCTGGTGGATTTTTACTATATAGACGATATCATGCTCAACTTGCCCACAATCCAACACTTGTCTAAATAGGGGTATGTAGAAGACACCAGTCCGCCATCTGCAACTCAGGTTACAAAGCCTGTTCCTCCCATTTGAAACAAGACAAAGCCTCAGGACCTCATGGAATGACTCCGGAGCTGTTCAAGGACGGTGGTGACAAATTGCTGTCTGGTTTAACCTAGCTATTATGTAGTTTGTGGGAATCAGAGATAACCCCGTTGGAATGATATAAATCATTGATTATCCTAGTATACAGAAAGAGAGACAAGTCTTCCTGTGATGATCATATTGGGACAAGCTTGACTAATGTGGTATCTAAAGTTCTAGGCGCAATAATCATGCGTAGGTTAAGTGGTTCTCGAGAGAAACAAACATGAGAGAACCAGGCAGGCTTTAGACCAGGTAAGGAGATTTTTGATCACATCTTCACCCTTCGACAGATTCTGGAACATAATTATGCTTACTGATGTCCAAAGATCGTCATAGTTTTTGACCTGAAATCGGTATTTGGTACCGTCGACCGAGAGGCACTATCACAATGTACGGCCGTGAAGGAAGTACCCGAGAAAGTACATAGCACTAATGAAGGCACTCTAGCCGAACTCACGCAGTCATATAAGGGCTTACGGAGAAATGTCATCTGAAGTAATGGCAGCCAGTGGTGTCCGTCAGGGATGACCGCCATCCCCGTTTCTGTTTAATTTCATTAGAGATGTACTAATGGAATTAACCGTAACAAAAATGATGATTTGTTAACGTCGTAGTTGTTAAAATTAGTCAGTGTATAAAAGGACTTCAATAAGTGTGTTAGAGTTACGTAGTAAGATTAATAGTTCAATGAATGGATGAATGAATGAATGAGTACACAGAAACGAAAGAAAATATGGAATCATGTAGGAGTGAGTTCTAAGGAAGTAGAGGAGTTACAAGGAGTTCGACAAATTAACAAGCAAACAAACAAAAAGAAATCGAGTGAGTAGGAATCCACGAGATTGTTACCACGACAGTAGAAGTGGTGGCATAATTTTCTCTTATATGAGTAGCTGCTGTTTCCCTATCTATCTGAATGGTTATAGCTTGAGAAATGCAAAGGAGATGAGAACCTATTGGTTTGATTGGATGCTAGTTAGTAGCCAGTGTAATGTGTTTACTCCTTTGTTTGGTGCAGACTGAATTCTCTCAGTACAGTTTTTAATGTGCCCACCATTGTAGGTGGCTCGTCATCACTAAACCTAGGTCCTAAGCTTCCTGGTGATCGCCTCCGACCGTCCAGTATGAAAGCCTCTTGTATTTGTCGCGTTGTTCTTCACTTTGTAGATTAATTTGAAGGAGGAGTGGTTTGTTGAGATGGATGAGATGACGAGTGTTGACAAGGTGTTTGATTATCATTCTCCTTATAGAGTCACTACTGCTTTTTTGCAACCATGAGATATAGTGTCCTACATCCACATACCTCTACCGTATGTTTGGAGTTTTACTGAGTGTATGAAGAGCGATACTCTCCCAATTATCCATAAAGTTATCTGAAATGACTTGGGATATGGGTAATTTCATCTTTATTCTTACTGTTTTTCTACATATTTTGTCCTTGTGTCTGAAGGCAGTAGACTTCATGCATAATTTATTTCGTAAAATAATTTCCTCAGTGGAGGGTGGGCAGCTTTGTCCTAATATTAGGCTCGGGATCAGCGGTTAGCTCTTTTCTAACTTCTTCCATGTTTATTTGATAAGTTTGTTCGGCCCACACGAGTGAGCACCACAACACCTTGTCGGAGATAGGAGCCAGAATTTTTGGGTTGCAATGCAGGCTTGTTGAGCTTTCAGCGATTGAGTTGGAATTATGAATTCCAGCTTCTGTGGATTTGGGATAATTCTGCCACCACTTCATACCTCACTGGCTTTGACTTTTCATTAGGACTTCAGAAGACTCATCGTGTAGGCAAGAATGACTGAAACATTTATGTGATTTACTGTCTGGATTGTTCTTCTTTGTTTGATTTTCTAATTCTTCATAACTCTTGCATTTCTGGAGAACCGTCACGCAACTTCATATTTTTCTTCGTTTCTCTGTTCATCCTGACTACAACTCATTTATATTTTTACTTATTCATCTTTTTACGTAACCATGATACGCTTATTCAACTCGTCTTATGCACTGAGGTTGTTAACAACTGCTATTACTATGACAACTCACCATTTTTATTACTAACCGCTTTCACAGAAAGAAAAACTCTGTATGAATGCGACTCTACGACATATAGAGCAAAATTCGGATTATCAACACCAGTGTTACATCAGCCAGTTGTTTTTATATGGGTCAGGGACTTGGTTTTGACGCTACAAAAGGCACTTCTAACAGGTCAGTTTAGACTTTCATCAACTGCTGCTTTCAGTGGCTCCATAGTGAAGACCAAATGTCCTACGTTTCGTCTTTATTGTTTAACTTCTTTATCATTGTATTCATACATTTACTTTGCTTAAACTTGAACTCCCTGTGCGAAAATTATATAAACGCGCAATTTCCTGAGCACTGTTCACTAAGTCCAGAACCTCCTGTCACTAACTGACATCATGTAAAATTTGCAAGTATGTTAAAATTGACTCTGTACATAAAGTTAATAATAATTTATTTAGTCTGCAAGTATCTCAGCTGATGAGAAGTCAACGAAATAGACAATGATGGTACCATCTTCTATTATTCTGTACAAATCACTGTTGTTATTACTTTATTCAAAATATGATACTATGTCCTAAGCTTAGTTACATGAATTAAACAACACTAACCTTGCAGCTCGGTACCTGCTTTGTTTAAATCTATCACTAGAGTATTTTGGAGAACGCTGACACATGAAACATGAACTATGTCCTCTTCTACAACATTGTTGAAAATGATTTCCATTACAACTGTTATGCAATGATGATGGGTCTGTTGTATTCACTTCCTCTGAGGTTTCAGAAACTGTTTGAGTCTGTGAATCATTTATTTCAAACAGTGAACTTGTTTGTACTTGTTGTTCTTGGGTTTGAAGATGATCAGTAGGAATTTTCTTGACTTGTAGTATTCTTTCTTTGGAATTAGAATTATTGTTATTAAGATAAGAAAAAGAAAAAAAATAAGATGAAACAATGTGAAAATTTCTAATTAATTCAACCCGTCGAATCATTTGATTTGTGGAATAATTTGAAACTAAACTGAACAGTCTTTCAAGATGCAGTGGTTGCACTGGTTCCTGTTCCGAATTTTGTATAGTATAAATATTAACCCTAATTATATTCAGTTTAATTGTTGTGGACTGCATTATGCAGCACACGGTATGTGGGAAGTAATAAGAAGCTGCATTCACCGATAAGAATACTCTAGAAAATCTGGAATTGCATGTAGATGATTTGTGTTTTGTATATTTATGTTTAGCGCAATGTAGTAAACTTGGGGAATCCTTCGAAGTGAAAACGAGAGTAAGACAAGCTGGCTGCCTACTACTATCTCCAATGATTTTCCTGATTCCGGTAGACAGCATAATGCGACAGACACAGAGTGGGCAACGAGGAGGCAGGCATAAAATGGAACCACACAAAAAACTTCGACGATCTGGATCAGGTTTTCACCGATGATATATGTCCGATTTCCCGCAAACCGGAAGATATGCAAGTGAAAGCAACGAGTTGGCAGAAGAAGCATCCACAGAAGATAGGCCTTCAGGTGAAAACAGAGAAAACATATGTGGTGATAATGAAGATTTCTGGCCAACAGCAACAACAACAGGCAACAATCAGCATAAATTGGAGGAGTCTGCAAGAAGCCACCTCCTTTACCTACCTACCTACCACCGACCGACCGACCGACCTGGGAAGCATCGTTCCAACTACAGGCTCACGGAACTGATGAGTATATGAGAGCGAGGATCGGGAAAGCAAGACAAGCTTTCATTACTCTCATCAAGTGTGTGTGGATACGAACAGCACTCAGGAAGAAAAATGAGATCCGGGTTTTCAACTCCAATGTGAAGTCAGTGCTACTATAGGGATCGGAGACTTTGCGCGCCACGAAGGCCAACTCGGATAAACTACACACCCTCACCAACAGCTACCTTCTCTGAATACTTCGCTCAAGATCAGATGGCCAACCAGAGAAGATGAGCAACAGGGATCTCTGGCAATCAACCAACGAACCGACCCAGCAGGAACCAATAGTGCAACAAATGTGCAGGAAGAAATGGACATGGATTGGATTGGCCATACTCTGAGAAAACAAACCCTCAAGTGAGTGACATCACACGTCAGACTATCTTTCTACTACTCGACTGGAACCCGAGTGGGAAGCGGCGAATTGGTCGTCAGTACGAGAGTGACATGGTGGAGGAGGAGATGATGCAAAGAGGAGATGAGAGCATGTGGGCAGACGTTGAGCCAGGTGAAAATGTTGGCAGAGAACTGAACGCAACGGAGACGTGTAGGTGAAGCCTTATGTTCCTCTATGAACTAAAGCAAACAGTAATAATAACCACACAAACTTGTAGACTTAAAGGCAAAAACCAACATGTTGTCAGAGGAGGCTGGTTGGCTGGCGATGAAGACAGGAATTCAAGCAAACATAGAGAAGACGGAGGTGATGAAAATACCGTGATACAAACAATAACAACAACAATCACCAATCACTGTCAATGGAAGAAATTCGGAAGAAGTCTCTTCCTTCACTTATCTAGACATCATCGTTTCAACTACAGGCAGCCGGCACGGATGATGATGTCAGAACTATTCAGAATGAGAAAGGTGATACAGACCTTCATAAGTCTGAGATCAGTGTGGAAATCTTCTGCTTCACTGAGCACAAACAACAAAAATTCGGATTTTCAACACAAGTGTTAAATCGATTCTTCTATATAGATCAGAGACTTTTTTGATTGAACACTAGTCAGTAACTAGTGTAATGTGTCTAGTCCTATCTTCGGTGAAGACTGAATTCTATCAGTCATGTTTGCAATGTGGCCACCATGCTAGGTGGCTCGCCATTACGGTGCACTGTGAATTGTTGGTACTAGATGGTTGGAGGCAATCGGCAGGAAGCCTTGGACCTAGGTTTCGTGGTAGTTGGCACTCATCAGCGAGGCGTATCTGCAACCTTAAAGGAACTGATGTCCCTTCTGAGATTCGAACCCGCATCACCCAGTGCTGCAGTCAGAGACGTTACCACTGAGCTATTTAGGCTCGCGACTGACTTCCTGTAGGACTGTATTGGATATTTTTGATTGAACACTAGTCAGTAACTAGTGTAACGTGTCTAGTCCTAGTTCAATCAAAAAATATCCAATACAGTCCTACAGGAAGTCAGTCGCGAGCCTGAATAGCTCAGTGGTAACGTCTCTGACTGCAGCACTGGGTGATGCGGGTTCGAATCTCAGAAGGGACATCAGTTCCTTTAAGGTTGCAGATACGCCTCGCTGATGAGTGCCAACTACCACGAAACCTAGGTCCAAGGCTTCCTGCCGATTGCCTCCAACCATCTAGTACCAACAGATCAGAGACTTGGCGTATCACCAAAAGTATTTCCAGTAGGTCACTTCAGACTTTATTGGCAGCTGCGTTTGCTCCATACTGAAGATCAGATAGCCAGAAATAATTGAGAACAAGGAACTCTGGGGACGAATCAACCGTTTGCTCAACCAACAAATGTGTTTGATGCTCGGTCAACGGACTCCTAAACCTCGCTTAGCTGGTAGGAAGCTCGCTAGAGAGGCAAGGCTGAGCATGAGGCCAACAACCCTATCCTTCAAAAAACACTACTGGAACTTCAAAGCTCTAGCTTTAAGCCCTATGTTCCACTGGGAATGCGAAGCAATAAAAAATATCTATCGTGTTTGCATGTTGCAGTAAATAATAATAATAATAACGGTAACTGATACATGTACTGAAACGATAATACCACTGCGAACTAAAAATTTGTTGGCTACTAAATAAAAGCTAGTCACAATGAGAAATACTGTTATCAACAAATTCTTTTCAAGTTCATACACATTATATTTTATATTCAGCAAGTTGTGATGCCGAAACTGAAAGACGAAGTACCTAGACAAGCTAGCCACCTCTAATTGTATCTATCAATTCACTTGCTCTATTGGAGCCAGTTGTACTGACTATTGCTCCAGAAAGTTGATTCTTCGTGCTCGGGAACACTCACCAGTGTGGTTTAATAAAAGTGTTGTTGAAACCACCAATAGTTCTGATCACCTTGTCCCGAACAAGCTACCTAGCCAGCTAGCATTCAAGGATCTTTCTCATTCATCTATCGGGCATCGAACAGATTACCAAAGGCCCCACTCTAGATACCGAATGTCAGCCGAGTCTGTGTGTGTGTGTCAAAGAAACAGGTGCAGACAGCCACTATTGCTACCCTCCTGGCCTGCTGTCGAACCTATGAATTCATAAATTCTCTATTACTTCCTAAAATGTTTCCAGTATTTTCAACTTAGTAGCATATTAATGCATATTATCTGTCTGTCTTACTGATGACACTTTAGTCAATTGTAATCACCTATCGATACCTCTTCAATCAAGCCAACCAGCTCAGCGAACTCAACTAATTGCAAATGAGAATATATTTCTTTAATTATCACTTTCACATAAATGCAGAACCTGATGAAGAAGAAGTTATTGAGTGGCATATTCTTTGTTCATTAATCTCAGTCTTTTAATATAAAGTGTGTTACCAAAAGAATTATATCCAAGCATGCAGGGAATGCAATTTCATACATAGAATATAATTATGCATAATTAATTCATTCATTGTATTGTCTAATTATTAGTCTTAGAAAAACAAGAAATTGTATTCCAATAACAGTGACCTGTTTCTTTCTTATTAGTGAGGTCAACTAATTCTCTAGACTCATATCAGAAAGTCTCTCATGAAAAAACGGAAAATGTTATCAAATATTGTAGGATAATATATATATATATAAGCGTAATATATCTCTAAATTGCAGAACCTAGGTAGAGATGCATATAGAAAAGTGTAATGCAGGTATTCAGGAAGCAGCAGGCGGTAGCGAAAATATTAAGTTAAAAACCCCTTGCTCTATTTTATGAATTAAAACTAACAAATTTTGAGGTTATTAAAAAGCACACTTATTCAAGTTCACCTTTTTGTATCATTGTCCCCACTAATCACTGCTCCTTTAGACTAACAAACAAAAAAATAGGCGATTTCATACTAAGTTAATCAGATATTTATGAGTATTGTAATTTATTCAAAGCGATAGAGGCATTATGTGAAGTAGAAACTGTGAACCATTACTGTAAGTATTGATCGGGTGTCAAACAAAACAACAAGATACTGCTTATTATTATTCCCTTGGGTTTCGAGTGGAAAATAGGGGTTGGCTGGCTTCAACAACACCACATTTCCACTTTGTTCTATTTTCTGCTGTCCTCTTCATCTGGCTCATCTCACGGTTGACCATAATCTCACATCTCCTCCATGTCACAATAGGACCGACGACACACTCGTCGCTTCTTATTTGGATTTCACTCGAGTATGGGATAGCCTACATTGCATGCGATGTCGTTCTACGGTTTCCTCAGTGTATGTCCGATCAATTCATCTCCATTTTCTCCTACATATTTGTTAAACGATAGACTCTTGCTCGGTTGGTCTGTTCCACTGAGGAGTTTCTTGCTACTAATTCTTCCAGGCTAGACGGCTATTTGCTATTCAGTACTGAGCTAGCTAGTGAAGGTGGCAGTTGTTGATGAAAGTTTGCCGTGACCTGTTGGAAATACTTTTCGTTACACACCAAGTTTCTGTTTAGCAAAAAGCAAATCTTGAATCAGGTCATTTTTCTACAGGATTAGATTAGTGCGGTCATCTGAGGTGTTTGACACTTATGTATCATAACTGTGAAGCGAGAACAAATGTCAAGTTATTTTAATCGCCTTAAGACTTTAATGAGTGGCCTATTCTATCCATAGCTTCTTTCCCAGCACAATGTATCTGCTCGTCGCATAAAAAGACATTAAAATTATCACGTTACCTAAATCATGTACTGGAGTATGATTGTTAAATTAGACATATGCCGGACATTTAGCCTTTTTTGAAATTAACGGAAAAATTACTTTTACTAAACCTGAAGTCTCTCAAGGTGCTGTTCTGTCTCCTCTGCATTTTCCTTTCCTCTTAAATGACCTGCCTCTTCTGGAAGAAATCAACCTTGTTAAATATGCTGATGACCACCGACTGGATTGTTGACACTTAGATCACGACTTCACCGTTACAAACTAAATAGCTTTTTTTGGACACCAGATAGTGGCCGAAGCTAAGTGGTCTTAAATTAAATCCCTCCAAAGAGTCACACAGTTAGTCTCACCTTCAAGAATAAATGTGTATCACACGAACTTGTTTGTTCACATGATGCTTTAACCTTATCTTGTTGATTTCTAACAGTGTTCCGCCCAACCTTCTAAATTAAGAAGTTAAGACAATCAGGTAGGCATCACTTAACCTGTACTTTTAAAGTTTGTTAGTCTTTGCAACTTATCTGTTGTTCTAAATTGATCCCCCTTAGTCTGTGTCATATCGCGAAGAGTACTAAAGTTTGCCAGTAGAACAAGGGATTTACCACCAAGTCAACTCGTTACTATTGTAGTTGACAGACATCTGAACTCATACGAGAGAGAGAGAAATTGTTGAAATCCATATTGTCTGACACTGTCAACACCCTCTTTATTCACAACTCTTACCCACCCCGTCATTGAATCTCATCAGGTAGGACTAGAAGTGAGAATTAAAGATTGTGGGCTTGTACAACTATGTAGAAAAACTCAACGACACCCTGTTTGCTATTCCCGAATTCTATTTGGTAGAGAAAGTGCTAGGCGTGAAGCTTGTAACTTACAATGTAATTAACGTAATAAACGGCTCTTTTGTCTTCTTCTGCTTGTAATTTATGCTGGCACTATTTCAATTGTCTTGTAATTTTATCTGCTAACATTATAATTGTCATTTTCAACTGTATTGCCACTCCTAATAGCAGAATGTTACGACTATGAATAAATTTTGGTTACCTGTACCCGGTAATAAATATTTTTTGTTAAGTGAATTAGATGGAATATTGTACGGAATCCTGAGAACTCCACATTGTATCATAAGTGCCGGGCATTGGTGGCACAGCAGTAGAATGCTCACCAACCACGCATGTGATTTGGGGTCCGATCCCCAAATGACGCACGTGTTTACCTCGCTAAGCCAGTAATAAGACTGATAAAGAGGGGAGATTGGGCACCAGGCTAGCAACCCCAACCCATAAAAATAAACATCACAGCTACGGAAACTTCAAAGCTCTAGCCTGAAGACCTGTGTTCCACTGGGAACGTAAGGGAATAAAAAAGTAATAAGTGCAGTTATGCAATAAAGTAAATCATTATATATATGGAAAACAAAAGAAAATTTGAGCAGAGAATGTTCTTTTCGGTCATTTTCATTCCTAGACGTCCTTATGACTAGAAAAGAGGGCGGTACAATAATAAGAAGCTTATATGGAAAGCCTACATCAACTGGTCAGTACACTAACCTTTTCAGCTTCGTACCTTTGAAACTCACAAACGTAATCTGATAAAGTGCTTGGTCCGCCATAGAGCAACAGCAGTCTGCTCTGATAAATGTCTTAGTAAAGACCTCAGTATTAATATACAGTTGCCGAGTAAGAATGGTTACCCAGAAAAATTCATCGATAATAATCTGAATCAAAAGTCTAGGCCGTCCAAAGTACCAGCCAACACTTCTGTAAAAGAAAGGCCTTGTTCTTGTAACTTTAGTTCCTCAGAGATGATAACATCAGCAAAATATTAACACAACGCCTAAGAAACACGGCGGTGGTAAAAAGAGCCTTCAGTGCTGCTGCTGAATTATGCTGTGTCTTCAAAACCACCCTCATTTTGGGTTCTAGAGTTAACGGCAAACTGCCTAGTTTCGCCTCTTCTATATGTATCTATCACAGGTTGACTGCTCCTGTGGAGCCAGTCAGTTAGTTGCATAGGCAGTACAATTAAGCGTGTTTATCATCGGATTTCCGAACACCACCCTACTGAATACTGTCTCGTCTTGTAGATACAGAACACAAAATTGATGTAAAAAAGCCTTAAAAGTCATATACGGTGTACCAATTAGGCTCAATTTTACCTCAAGAGTTCGCCTATTACATATTGTTGCGGTTGCTGGTATCTGCATTGAGAAGGCTAATCTATTTATCCAAAAGAAGAAATTGGTCCAGACACTTTCCTTACTTCGCTGGCCATCAAGGTTTTAATGATCCTTAATTTGTTGTGGAGATTTCCTTAATTTTATTTCATATTCAGTTTCTCATTACATTTTCATCCTTATTACAACTTAAACATCTTTCTTGAACTGTCTGTAATTCCACTGATCTTGACAAATCGATATCATTTTAAAAAACACCAATATTTTTAATGATGATTATTCTAGAATAGTATACTACATATATAATATATATAATATTAACTATTGATCATAATCATAACATATCATCAGTTAATATTACTGTTAACACTGTGTGATTCATCAAAATAAAATCTTATCTATAATGAAGTTATAGTCTACCACAGCGCCCAAATTTTATACTTATATCAACAGAGAGCTTTCGTCTTATCAAGTTAAGACGCAAAAATTTATTTAAACCTGCATATCTCAGAATGAAGTGCATAGAACCACTTGCTTAGATTAATATGTTTCAGCGACTAATAAACTCTGAGTCACTTATAGAATGGTGATATACTAGCCTCCTAGACTGTGCATCTGAAGCTACCCAAACTGAGATAAAACATCTTTTCAGTGTTTCTTGTTTTTCAGTGCTCACTTAATCTACCTTTTTGTTCAAGTGTTAGTTCATGGTAAATAGTATTAGCCCATTGCTTGACTCCTGCAGGTATACATATTTACAACCTCAAGCCACCCATATGCTCCTAATGGAATTTGAAATGAAAACGTGTATATCTGGGAGAAACATTCGTGTCGCTAAAACCTTGCGAAAAATTCCCCTACAGCGGTGGAAATAACGTCATCAACAAAGCTTTTATATGACAGATTTAATTGAGTGAGCATGTCTAATACGTGTGTATTATACTTATTATGGAAGGGAGTCTACTGAATAAAACTCAACCTAAAATTTGAAATAATCAACCTAATGAAAGTCATACTGTTATCCTGTAATTGTAAATCACTGAGTTGCCTTGTCAAAAATATACAACATACTAGAGAATGATACGGAAGTTTGCGAAAATTAGTCACTGGCTATTACGACTCTTAGAGAGAACTAGTTCGAACTATGAAAGGTAAAGAACAGTAAGTCTGAGCAAAATAATGTTTATTAATCCGAGTCTTACCTTCTGAGTCTCTATGTGCCAGAGGTTTATGCACTTCTAATCCCTCAACTGAACCCCCAGCTTCTCTCGTCTCCTTATATTTGTGCAGGTTGTCAAGTACGTATTTGTAGCATAGATTGGGGCAGCCATACAGCTTTGAAGGAACTTTAACACACCATTCGAGCGGCGACAACTGAACAAAGCATCCACTGAAAGCCACCATTATCACGTTTAGTCTACTCTTTGGACAACAAGTCATTGTTATCAATTTTGAGGCCAGCTCGAGACTTGCATTATCTGGTTTCACATTGTTTATCAAAAGAGTCAGGTACAACGGACGTGAATTGCAAACTGAAGATAATTTTCTTGTATCATAAAGCTCCTATGAATAAGGTTATATATGATAAAAAACTTCGATAAATTAACTACTTTTGTTAACAAACCATCCGTAACCAGTAGTACACACTCAGCTTCCACATATGAATAGGAAGACAATAGTGCAGGGGATATGTAGCTGTTAGTTCCGAAAATTACATTCCTCAGCCACTTATTAAGTTCTTCTATGTTTTTGTAATTTACTGGCACAAGCTTAGCGCGGAAACGTTTCACCTACTCATTAAATAAAAGGAAATGTGACAGACTCACATTGTCACCAAACGTTATAACATTGAAAGTGGACTTCTTATCATGTATAGCTATCTTGCACAGATGTTCTATTATCTGAGAAGAAATTTGATCCCACACTTTATGAATACTTCCAGAGGTGTCAACACAAAACACTATATTAGATTCCTTTACATCACCAAAAATTGTGCGGCGTCTTGTTATTTGTTCACACTGGTCTCCAAGACCGCAAGACCGACTTTTCGACATGTTATATCATTTCGGAGAATTTAAAATTCCGCTAGAGTCGCAGTTACAGCAACATATAGTAAAACAATGTCGTTACTCATTTGACCACATACGTTAGATACTACTATTAACAGTGAATACTGGTACGATTTTATGGGTGTGACGCGATAGGTGCAATGCCATATTTCCTAAGAGGGACAAGCAAATAGTCTCTGGGTTCCATTGGGTGATGGGTTTATTCGGGTTTGGGGCAGAGTTTGATACTAATCCGATGGGCACCTCCTCATGGTTCACGAAGGGATAACTCTTCAAGTGATAGGAATTAGTTAACTGTATTTCACCACGGAGATTGCCAGGTGCTGTTTCCCTTGGTCTATTAGAAGGTTCTGGATGTGGAACCCACTGGCCAAATATGAACTAGGCTGGGTGGTTCTGTGATGGTACCCTGAAAATGAAAGCTGGGGCCGGATATCCCTGGGTCTATACTTGAACACCGTTTTTAAAAATCTGTCTGTAATTCTCAATAGCCCCCAGAGGATAGCTCTTCTATGGGATTGCCGTTGATCCTAAATTACACTATCGAATGGTTATCTCTCCGAGGTTGCTTGGAACTTTTGTCCACAAGAGTTGTAGTCAACTATGTCTAAGGGGTTTGTTGACTCATGGTAAAAGGCACAGGGATTCATCTCCTTGTGCATGATGTAGATGAGTTTCCTGTCACAAACACCTATGGGGAGAGTAAAGCCGGTTTCTTAGGAGCACTACGTCCAATGACCCAGCTTCTGACTCTAATAATCACATACTTCAACACCTGTCAAGAAAAATGTGATCAGTTCCCTGTGAAGAAGACATAGCATCTGAGGATTCAGTTATTCAGTTGATGGCTGACGTTGCAGGAATCCATAGATAGCCACATGAAGATAATCATTAGCAAGAGTAATCAGAGTTGAAGTCACTCTAGTGAGGCCTCTTGCGGAATGTCCATGTCGCAATGTATCCAAACATTGCATGAAACATTCTACAAGAGTTATGACTTTCTGAGATGGACTACCACATGCCTTCCTAGAAGTAAATCCAATGGAACATTGAAGCACTACAGTTGAAGAGCTGCATAACATCACATCTCGGAAGAAACGACGTAAGAAAGCTAAGTATGGTTGCTCATATTCTGGAGAGTACGTTGCCACCAGATATTGCGCGGTAAGTCTAAGCTACCAACCTACCAGGCGTTCGAGCTGAAAAGCAGTAAGACATATATCAATTTTCATCTGGCATTGCTTGTGTTGAAAATCCTTCAGAAACACCCTCGGAGATTGTCATGACTGGAAATGATGACTAGCGACGTAGCTATCGCAAAAGAAATACTTAAAGTTTATATATACACACTCGACTCAATTATCCTACAGATGATCCCTTTAAGTTCATCAGATACAATGCCAAGTTCACATGAGAAGCAGATAAAGCCAGTACACTTTTATAATCCATGCGTAAGCAGGTCCACCTATGTTTAGAGCACAGGACATACATATGCCCATGTTTTGTAGTTCAAAATATCACAATATAACCCCTCCTGGAGATGGGTATGAACTTAACAGTAAGAACCTAGAGAAGGGTGCTTGTATCTGTAATCAGGCTAAAACATAAGTCGTGTGGAGACCCGATTGGAAGACTGGACCTATATACTGGACTGTGGATTCATGTTTAAGTTAACACCAGCTCAAAAACAGTGGGGAACCTGAGACAAATGGAGGGAGAGACACGACTGAAATACTCCTATAGCGCTCTAACATAAAAGACTGCGAGTGCTGACCATCAGAAGGTAGCAACACATAACGCTGTCAAGTTTGTTTATTCCTGGGATCTCTTACTTGCAGAATCGAGCGTCAGATGATGCTGCCAGCACTTTATTATCTGGTAGGTTCAGAAGAAGGCTAGGTGCCCATACGAAGTTGAACTTCTGCAATCATAAACTGGGCGCTCTGATCTGGACCTGAGGGATACTGGAACTATCCCCACGATACCACCGCTGTCCACTAACCCACTTCTAACGCAATTTAGTTTCTTCTTTTTATTTTCAACGCAGATGCTAGCCCTCGTAGTATTATAGAAGGAAGCACACAGTCTCTTCCACTTACCGAGAACGAGTGGCGTGCAAACTTTACAGCGCCGTTCTCCTGCAACACACTAAACGAAAGATAAACAATGGAAGGCAATAGCCCTTCATTTCTTGACGACTTTTATTTCGTAATCCTAGTTAGGCATGTTTGCGTTTCACATATGTAAAACGAGAGTCAATGTTCCTACAGTTGAGAACTATTATGATCAGTCTTTCCCTCTGCCATGTGTAACACTCTTTTGAAACATTTTTCAATTTCTGGATGCAAAATGAGTTAAATGCGTTTATTTGAAAACACTGAGCAAGCTTTCTCTCCCATTGATGACAGGGAGGCAAGATAATATCTGATGTCAATGTCGTTGCTGTCTAAGAAGCAGATTTGGCTGGTATGACACCACAGAAATTCTTTTGGTTCGAAATCAAATACATTAACGCCATCCTCATATCTAGCTGCTGACGGGGTACAAAGTCCATCGTGGGTACGTCAGGCCATATTCAACAAACTCTCTTCATCTGAGGGAACAATCCCTGTCGTAGACTGGACGTTTGCTCGCAGACAGAAGACAGGAGCAATACGACCAGAAGTATTAGTACGTACTATACTGACGTTACTTGTAGACTGTTTTATTGTGTTGGTAGTAAGCAAGTGGGAAACAAATGGTCAGGCTGCTATGCAGTAACTCGCTGTATTTGCTCATGCTTGTTTGATCAATAAATCTTCCACTTATCATGCGTCTTTCAATGCCACTTGTGTTGAAATCAAGTTGGTTATTATATGAGTTAATTATTACTCTGAGTTCCAGAGAATTGCCTTTTGACTACAACAAATTTTTCTAATGCCGATATTAACACCGTTTTCAAAGCCACACTTATATCTGATGTACTAACACAATAATTACATGTATCAAAAGTTACTCCTGGTCTTGCATGCAAAGTACATCATAAATACGAAAAACACCGTGAAAATGAGCCACAGTTACTTAATTACACACATACAGCTCCATTAATAACTGGTGATTTTGGCCTCGAATCATATCAATAACAATATATTATCATAAATACTGGTTTTTTGATTAGAAATAAATGCTACTTTAGAGGCTGATGGTATTGACGTTCGCGAATTGTACGGAGTATACAAATGCAAGATCTTATACCAACAACTTCTATAATATTTGTTCCTCGTATACCAAAGGGAAAGCAAAAGACCAGATTTAATCGTCCAAATTACGGGATATATTTCATGACCCAAATGGATTGCGTGCTGATAGCTTAACTGGCTAGTGATCGTGCACGAAAGTGACATGACGGAGTACCAAATGGCGTGGATACTTGACCGGAAGCCTTCAGCTAAACAAGTCGACTTTAACAGTGAGGGTCAGCATCCGATGTTCAGTGATGATTGCTGTGGTCAATAATTTTGGGGCATTATTCACCGCTACACTACTTTTGCCGCCATGGTCAGGCATGACATATATCGCGATCATAAAATATGGGTGAATTACTACTATTTCTACATTTAAGAAGCTGAATTATGGGACATGATGTCAAAAAATGGGCACGCAGATGTCAAATTGTGAAGCCCTCTGAGAGATTGAGCTGTAATCCGTATTGCGTGTGGGCGATTGTAGTCAACTGATGATCAAACAATATTCAGGTAATTACTGTGTCCACGCGTCATTAAAATCATTTTGGGGAGCGAAAACATTCCGAGAAATCGCAAAGTGAACTAAAACACAAGTACGGGTAATACATATGTCATTAAAAATCGTCTACAGAGAACACACATCAAGGGGTTTCACAGTTTTTAGGACGATAGTGTACGTTTACAGTGTGTAACGCCAACTCCTTTACTGTCTAAACTGTTTTTGATGAAAATGTGATAGAGCAGCCAAAATTGACTCCAAAGATCTGAAAAAGCAGGACATGTAGAACATGCTGACTCAAAATTTCTCATGAATCTGTGTAGGGCCCACGGAATCGTATCGTGAAAATAAATTGAGCTAACTGTTAGGAGTTAGAGAAAGAAGCATTATTTGTCATTTAGATAAAGACAATAATTAATCCATTTTCAGACTGGTATCTATACTCATGCTTCGATCTCGGGCTATCGAAATGCATACTGCTGTCCTGCAGGATGTGGCGATTGACATTTGTGACCTCAACCATGTCCGCTGATTAGCATGCGCTATCTCCCCTCCTTTTGTGACAATGGGCTAGGAGATATTTTGCAGTAACTGCTTTGAGCCCCAGTCATACAGCATGCTGCATATTAATAGCTTTCCAAATGGTCACCAGATACACAGACACATGAGGGCATTCTTAGCAGTGTTGTCTTTATAAACGCACATATGAATATTAATAGGTAACTGCAAGCGACCAGGAAATTAAGTGTTTTATAATCATAAATTATAGAAGCATTGAGTACTAGAGTGAACATAATTACTATCTATTTAGCAGGGTGAAATGAGCGGTGGAACAGTTGGTGATAAAGTTGAGTAGAATGGTCTTGAGGAAGGCAGCCGACTGGCATAATGTATTCTGCTCAATTTTCATGGCTGCTTTCATATGATGTTTTTAAATATTCCATGTCAGAAACCATTGAAACGTCTTAACACCTTTTATGGCAGGGTAATTTATTATCGGTGGTTCATTCCCACACTTTCCGCTTTAATACAACCCGTAACAGACCTACACTGGACAGTTAATAAGTGTGTAAGTCTTTATTTGCCCGCCAAGAACATCATTATAAAGTTGACAAAGACGTTTTAGATAACAACTTGTAACAACAGAAGACAAGAACGGGACCAAGGTATATTTTTCATTAGTCAAACCGCTGTTTATATATATATCCTATAACCAATCAATGGGCGTGTGATTTCTGTTTATATTAGACGACATGAAATAT